CTCGTTCTACAATTTTATAAGTGGGGAAATATTTGATTTTCAATTATTAACTAAAAAGATAATAATGCCTTTTAAACTATCCAATATTTTGTAATTATATAATACATTTAAGGGCATCTCTTTCTTTTACCAAGAGGTTAATGTTTTTAAAAATCAAAGTGAAAATAAAGATCTTTGACTAAGTCAATTTTAAAAGTACCCCTATTTTTTCCATAGTTTCTTGAAATAACCTATATTATAGATTTTTAAAAATATTTGCACTTTCACCTCTGAATTTCTACAAATCGCTAAAATATCCCAAAGCTTGATATATTTTTCTCGACTTACAGGATATAACTTTAGCCTTTAAAATTAGCATATTCCTCTTTTAGTCCTAAACCTTCCAAACTTCATAATTAAGTCCACATCACACTACAAAAAATTTCGGAGTATTACGGACGCCTGACACATAAAATATAGACTTGGATGCAAACACCTGTACATATAAATAAACATATAAGAGTAATTTTCTAAGTAAATTTAAATGAGAGCTTAGCAGATTGAAGTGTGTTATAAAGCAGCATGGCAACAGTCATTGGTCCAACTCCTCCTGGCACAGGCGTAATCGCAGAAGCTACCTTTGATGCTTCCTCAAAACAAACGTCTCCAATGAGCCGATAACCATGTTCACACTTGGGATCCTGCAAGTATTCCAACATGAATAAGAGAACAAATAAAAGCAGGCTATATTTCATCATTCAAGCAACTAGATGTCACCTCAACCGGGGTAGTGCCAACGTCAACAACTATTGCACCAGGTTTTAACCAACTCCTGCACACCAAATTTGGCACTCCAGCAGCTGCAATTAAAATATCAGCTTCACTCGCAATTTTATCTGGGTTTTTCGTATGTGGATGAATAATGGTCACAGTAGCATGGTGCCTCTGCTCAAAAGTCGAACAATTGGATAGTTATTACAGAAGTCAAAAATTGAGCAGAAGATTCTAAAACATTATTCTGAAGTATAAGAAATTGTGGTGATAGGAGGTAAACTTGGAAGCAGGAGAAGAGAGGAAGGATAAACAGGATATCACCTGCAGCAGCAAGGATGTTGGTA